AGCGCATATGTTAAGAAGTTTAATATGGTTCACAAACACCAGGTGCATTTTCTAGTCAAGGAAGATAAAAGAAGAAAATATCAAGCTCTATGAACTCTAATTCCAGATAATACAAACATAATGGATCGTTGTATGGTAACTTTGGTAGAGCTCCTGTCTATCAAAGTACCTAGGCAACATTGTGGACATGCCATAACAAGAGACATTGTGCAAGTACACTGGATATTGTTTACTTTTCACCCCACACCATTATACCATGTCCAGCAAGTTGAACAAGCAGGATCAATGTTTCAAGTGGTCATCTCAATATTTTTTTACTTAATCACCATCACAGCAAAGTATGTTAAGAGATTCACCAGACTACACTGCACACTAACTGTTCAGAGCGTACACTCTGGAGCAGTATCTTTCTATTTGCATCCAAGCAGTTGTTGAACTATTTGGTTGCTACCATACAACACTTGGCAGGGTATGGTTAAAGATAAGTGAGCTCAGCTCGCTGAGGAAGGAATGCAACCTCTCTCTTGGACTTTCTACACCCATCCAATTATCTTTTACCTCTTTTTATTACCAGTAATTGTATTCCCATTCAACTAGCATTGTTCTTTTACACCTTTCTGTTGCCACTAGTTGTATTTCCACCCAATTAGCATTGTTCTTTTACACCTTTCTGTTGCCACTAGTTGTATTTCCACCCAATTAGCATTGTTCTTTTACACCTTTCTGTTGCCACTAGTTGTATTTCCACCCAATTAGCATTGTTCTTTTACACCTTTCTGTTGCCACTAGTTGTATTTCCACCCAATTAGCATTGTTCTTTTACCTCTTTCTATTAGCAGAAGTTGTAATTTTATTGCCATTGTCCATAAACTCTGATGAAAGATGTTTTTAAACGAGTGACAAAAAAATCTTCCATAATGATGCTCTTGCTAAATGACACACAATTATATGACCCTTTAAAAGTCAAAGAGATTTTTACTCTTTCAAATAATCATGCAAACTAATGTACGGTTACGTTTACGAGACTTGGGCAATCGTTGCAGTGTACAGACGACATCTGTGAAGTCTGTGTATCATTTTCTCCATAAATGTTGAAACTTTAATAAGCTGGGATATGCAAACCATACATCTCTAAACAAGAGTACCCTACACTAGTTCATTTAGTGTAAAAACCTGTCAGCATTAGAATTTCCAAAACAGGTTGCAAAACAGCCACTTCAAACACTTTCACAATGATGATTAAGTATGTGTGTGGAGGCAGGCAGACAGACAAACAATTTGATTGGTATAACGTGCTAACTGTGAGGAGTGACTGTAATTACAGGGCAAAGTTAATTTTGTTTGTTGTAAATCACAAGGCTACACAATGAGCTATCTATGCAGGTATCAAAACCCAATTTTTAGCATTGTAAACCCACTGATTTACTGCTGAACCACTGGGGGCATTAGGCATGGGACCTATCTGTAAAGTCTCTTACCATGGATATGAAGAGATCTTTTCCAGAGACCAAGGTAGATGTCTTAGTCAAAGAGGCTCATGCACTATTCTGAAAGGATAATATGCCTGGTCACAAAGGTGTGTATAACCCACATTTGATTCTGATTCTAAACGAGTAACAATACTCTCCTGGAATGACCTGCCCGCTGGAGGGGTTAACACAAAATTGTACCTCATCATTATAGTTGTCACTAACTGGCTAAGCTTTCAAAACAACAATAAAAATAAACTGCCAAGTCTTAGTCAAATCATGCCAAGCAGAATAGTAGGAGACATTCACACTGGTGGCAGTACACTGTATTAGAGCACCATTTACTAAAACCTCCTGTATAATTACCTTCACAAAACTGCAACACTAAAAACAACATGTTTATGTATAACAATAAGGTCTTACCTGAACTTAAAAAAAAACAAACAAATAAAGAATATGTTTTGAAATAATTTGTAAGTCAATTAATTACCGACATATCTAATTCTAGGATCTCCAACTGAGTAACAAACATCAAGTTTTTGGGGAGGTGGTAAGTAAGATAACTTTAAAACATGAAGATTTGGCAAAACAAAAAAAAAAGACCAGTTCCTAGATAACAAATAACTCTTTATTCAAAACATAAAACATAACTATTTGAAATGTGAAACAGCTGAATATAGTTGGGTAGAATTCTGATCAGGTCAGCTTTGATGCAAGTTTAGGAAAGGTGACTTCAGGCATAAAATTGAAATAATTAAACATCAGAAATTGTACAATGTTAAGACTAATTTCTATATATTGAATACAGTACTGATATAATCTCTTTAAGTAAAAAAATCAGGTCTTTAACAAAGATAAAATGATGAGACAATAGAAGTATCTGCACTCCACAAAGTTAGGAAGCTAAATTACACCAAACTGATTTTTTGTTTAATTGTAGGTGTGAGGAATAAGTAGACTCAACAGACAGTAGAGTGGCTGGATGGAAGAAAGCAGAGGGTTGTTATAAATGGAGTTCAGTCAACCTGGATGAATGTCACAAATGGGTTACCGCAGAGCTGTTTTAGGACCTTTGCTCTTTTTGATTTATACTAATGACACAGATGAAAGAATGATCAATAAATTAGTTAAACTTGCTGTGAGGAGGATGCTGCTGTTTTACAAAACAATGGATTATTTGGTTAGTTGAACAAATTAACGGCATATGATTTTTAATTATAATAAATTCATGGCAATACATGAGGGATATAATTTTATTTATATTTTTGATGGTAATACCTTAAAAGTGTTATGAAAGAAAAGGATCTTGGTGTTATGATTGATCAGTCTCTTACACCATCCAAGCAGTGTACTGTTGATAGTAGCAGGGCAAATACGATGTTAGGTTGTTTCTACACAAATATTTAAAAGTCTAAACAGGTTAGAATGTCACTGTATAAGCCACTGGGTAGGCCACATTTGAAGTATAGTGTTTAGACTTAGGTTCCTTACTTTAGAAAGAACAATAATTGCTGGAAAGGGTTCAGAGGAGGGCCACTAAGATGATGTCTTGTATGGAAAGGTTGTCATACAAGAAAAAGTTAAAATCTCTGAACTAGTTTTCCTCTTGAAAAAAAAAAGAGTTAGAGTAGATTTGACTGATGTGTTTAAAATTAAGGGAATTGATAGTATTGATGTATTTAAAGTTAAGGGAATTGATAGTATTGATGTGTTTAAAGTTAAGGGAATTGATAGTATTGATGTGTTTAAAGTTAAGGGAATTGATAGTATTGATGTGTTTATATTGAAATATGGTTCATCAGACCAAAGTTACATCATTTGTGTATTGAAATATGGTTCATCAGACCAAAGTTACATCATTTCCATATTGTGTATTGAAATATGGTTCATCAGACCAAAGTTACATCATTTGTGTATTGAAATATGGTTCATCAGACCAAAGTTGTATCATTTCTATATTGTGTATTGAAATATGGTTCATCAGATCAAAGTTACATCATTTGTGTAATGAAATATGGTTCATCAGACCAAAGTTGTATCATTTCTATATTGTGTATTGAAATATGGTTCATCAGACCAAAGTTACATCATTTCTGTATTGTGTATTGAAATATGGTTAATCAGACCAAAGTTGCAGCATTTCCATATTGTGTATTGACTGATGTTTCATCAGACCAAAGTTGTATCATTTCCATATTGTGTATTGACTGATGT